TCAGCCCCCACTTCTCTGTCTCCTTCGCCTTCCCCCTCCCAGCCCTCCCCTCCTCTGGCTGTTTCCAGCACCCCCTCCATCCACCCTGGCCTTGCAGCTGGGAGGATCTGGGCACTTGGGCACATGGTCTGCCTGATACCTTTGGACCTCAGGGACCCTGGGAGACAGAAAATGAGGGAAAATGCTGGTTTGACCTCAGGGACTCTCTTACCTGCTCTGGGGATATCCCAGCAGCTAAAAGACAAAAACAGTCAGGTTTTTAGTTTCAAAACTCTAGATACTGAGGAGCACAGAAAGTACTTATAACATGAGCCACGGACAATGCACTTGGGAGAAAACGTGATGAACAGAGCCAGGCTCCCTCCTCCCAGACTACAAGATCCCCCAGGCTGGGGGGAGGGAGCGGACTGGAGAGGACCCCATGAGAGAGTGCAGGTCCCAGTGGGCTCTGAGAAGGGGCGGTGCCATTATGTGAGGATGTGGAAGTGGAGCCAGACAGGAGGAGGGTTTGTTTGGGCCAAATCCCCTGTTGGATGAGGCTGGCTTGTGAGTGAATGGCTGGGGCAGAGGAGGAGCAAAAGTAGGAATCTCAACCAACCTTTATAATAAAACCCAGAGGACTCTGTGTGTGACGCATATGCAAGCACATATGTGTGTGCATATGTATAATTTCTGTGTGCATGTGTGTTATATGTGTTCGTGCATGTGTGTGCACATTCTTGCATGTGTGTGTGTTTCTGCCTACCTCTGTGTCAGCTCAGTACCTCCTTGGCAACCATATGAATTTCACTGAAGTGTCTGGGTTCCCAAAATGGGCCTACGGTCATGGCCGCTTCTGCCACCAAGAGTCAAGCCAGGAAACAGAGAAGGAAGTGGTGGGTCAGAGAGACGAGAAGGGCAAGGAGGGGTGTGCAAGGCAGACAGCTCATGTCAGCGCCTCCTGGGCTCAGCTACCAGCGGCCTTTGGGAAAACACCCCTTCCAAACCCCATGGGCAATCCCTTGGACCGATGGCTCCTGGATGACCATCCTAGCCATTGCCCACACACTTCCACCCAGCCCAGCCCCAGCCAGGTCCTCTCACCTTTCCTCTGTCGCCTCACCATTCTCCACACCAACAGTGAGGCTGCCACCAAGAGAAGCAGCAACAGAGTAAAGAGGAGGGGCAGGAGGATGAAGAGATTCGGGGAGACGCCACTGGAAACAACAGAAGACACCTGTGAGCCCTGGCTCACCTCCTGCCTCTGGGCCTTATCCCAGCCACCCGGTAGCAGACGGGGCCACACACCTTTTGACTCGCAGTTTCCAGCCTGGGTACCCCACTCCTGGGTGCCCTCAAAAATGGCTGTTGTTTTTAAAGGAGAGGAGGGCTCCACAAGGGAGTTTCAATGGGTCTAGAAGCCTAAGAGAAGTTGTATGACAACAGGCACCGGCAAGGTCTCCCTGCTTCCTCACTGGTCCTCTGCCCTGGTTGCATAGTGTCCCCCAGCCCACAATTCATGTCACTCCGAACCTGGGAAGATGACCTATTTGGAAATAAGAGCTTTGCAGATGTGATCAAGATGATGTCGTACTGGATTAGGGTGGGCCTAACCCAATGACTAGTGTCCTTATAAAAGGAAAATTGGGGCAACAGGGACACGGTCATGGAGACCATGTGACAACAGGGGCAGAGACTGGAGTGATTCAGCCACAGGCCAAGGAACGCCAAGGATTGCTGGCCACCAACAGCCAAGACAGAGGCATGGGACAGGTTCTACCCCCACGTCAGCTCAGTGCCTCCTTAGCAACCACAGGAATTTCACTGAAGTGTCTGGGCACCCGAAATGGGCTTAAGGTCATTGCCATCGGCCCACACACTTGAGCTCCAAGAAGCCAACACTTTCGAAACCTTGATTTCAGATCATGGACCTCCTGGGCTGTGGGAGAATAAACTTGTCTTGTGTTAAGCCACCCAGTTTGTGCTATTTCGTTATGGCAGCCACAGGAAACTCATACATCCTCCAACATACACACACACACACACACACACACACACACACACACACTACAGTTCATCATCAGCACAGCAGCCAGGGAATGCTTTTAATCAAAGTTCAGCATCTCCCTCCTGTGCTCAGAGTCCCATAACAGCCCCATTTCATTCCTCTCTCTCTCTCTCTCTCTCTCTCTCTTTCTTTCCTCATTTCTTACTCTTCTCACCCTTGCTTCCTCTTCTGGGAGGAAATGCCTGGGGTTCTTATAAAAATAAGAGACTGGGACACAGACACACACAAAGGGGAAACCATGGGAAGACACAAGGAGAAGAGGCCTCGGGAGGAACCAACCCTGATGACACCCTGACTGAGACTTCTGGCCTCCAGAACTTGAGGCCTCAATGGCTCATGATAGGATGTCAGGCGCCCGGAATGCAACTGTTTGTTTAAGCTGACGCTGCTTTGTGATGGCAGTCTGAGCTGATGAGTATAAGGATTATCTCTTACTCGTCACTACTTACAGAGATTTGTAAAATAAATTCATCAATTAATTACTTAATTAACTCTATTTGGTACATTAATTATCTCTTGATTGTAAGTGCCTGGAGGGCAGACAGATAGCTTGATTGTTCTGTTCATCTCCTATCCCCCTGTGTTCCCTAAATCGGTGCTGGATATAAGGGGGGCTCAATAGCTACTTGTTGAATAAATGAGTGAGTTACCCATAAAGCTGAGCAAAAGCCCTAACTGGTACGTACGTCTGGCTTTGACTCATAAAATGAGAAACTCCTTGCTGTTACTTGTTAAAAGCAGTCCGGTAGAAAGAAACTCCCCAAAGAGAGGTCTAATGGGTGAGGGGACTAAGGAGTCCCTGGTGTGGGAAGACTGAGGATGGGAATGTGCGTGGTCATCAGCAGGGTCAACGTACAAACAGAATAACACACAGGAAAGTCCTCTGTGAGCTGCCAGGGGCTTTAGAGACACGAGGGCTTATCAGGATCACTGCTGTTGCCTTAATGTAACTGGGGAAGCAGGACTTCCCCAGGCCCTTCCTGTTCTCCCAGAATTTGGACCAGGGGGCACTGTGGCCCCATGACCTCGTGACCACACACTCTAGCCATGCCCTCTCGGGACTCTGCGGGAAGGCCCAGCAGTAGAAGATACAGCAGATCTCAAGGCAAAGCGAAGAGGCCCAAGGAGGGTGAAGGGGAGAAACGAAAGAGGCCTCTCAGCTTCCAGAAAGCTTCTGCGGCTGCAGAGCTGGGAAACATGAGCCCGGCTCAGTTTCTTCCTCTGTAAAATGGGAACGTGCATGTCTACTTCCTGTTCCTCCTCCTGAGGTGGTCATCGGCAGGGTCAACACATGAACAGAGTAACAGACAGGAAAGTCCTCTGTGAGCTGCCAGGGGCTCTAGAGACACGAGGGCCTATCAGGATCACTGCTGTTGCCATAGCAGTAACTAGGGAAACAGGACTTCCCCAGGCCCTTCCTGTTCTCCCAGAATTTGGACCAAGGGGCCTTGTGGTCCCCATGACACCCGTGCCCACACATCCTGGCCATGCCCTCTGCCCTGAATGCCTGCTCGTCCACCTCCCACACTCTGAGCTCCGCAGGGGATGCCCCATGTCTGTGAGAGAAGTCTGGGACAAGTGGGCCAGAAGGAACAGCAGCATCCAAGCTGACTTACCTGCCATCCGAGTGCTGGCTGGTCACAGTCGGGGAGCCGGTGGTTTCTCCTGGGGTGTCTGTGAACGCGTTGGCAGTGGAGGTGATGGCGGAGGTAGGGGTCAACACTGTAGTTGGTGCTTGTCATAAAGAACAGATTACATTCCACTCTCCTGCTATCCCACCCGCAGCCCTGCACGGAGCTCAGAGCCGGGGAGGAATGTGGGCTGCCCTGGCCTGTGGGGCCTGGAAGGGAGCCTTGGGATGGGGCCTCCAGCTGGACCACTCATGTCCCCTTGGCTTCTAGGAGACTCAGAGCCTCAGAGGCTGTCGAGTCTGGGCACAGGTCCAAGAGGACATCCAGCAGGCCCTGGAAGGGTGAAGGGGCCCAGGACTGCCTCAGGTCAAGGGCAGCGGGGGTTCAGCTTTAGACAAGTTATTAAGTTTCTATGATGGGGTAGTTCCTGCTCAGGATCATTCTCGAGATCCCATGAGACAAGGAACGTGCTGCACTTGGCAGCTACCACAGGCCTCCCGGGTTCCCGGTGTGGTGGGGACGCTATGACTGTGTCCCCTCCCGGCCATGAGTGCCCTGTGAGCTGGTGCTGGCTGTCCGAGGGTCGGCAGAAGCAGAGCCCAACAGACACACTTGTTCACACCCAGATGTTCCCAGGAGTGTCTATTCTAGAAGGTGTTAGGAAGAGAATGACTCTAAGCCCAGATGCACCCATGGCTCATGGTGGGATGTCAGGCGCCCAGAATGCAACTGTTGGGCTGTGGAAGCCTTTCCAGACCTCGGGAGTGACCCACAGCCCCCAACTGTGCTGGGCCTCCTTCCCCCTGAGACCAGATATGGAACAAGGGGTGGGACAGCGGCTATGAGCCTGGGCCCCAACCTCCAGGAAGAGCAGGGACACCAGGGCACCAGAGGTGCTAGGGAAGCCTTGGCAGGAATCAGGGTCTCTGGCTCCCACAGAAGAGGCTTCCTTCAGCCCATGAGTTAAAACTGGGGCCGTCACTGTGGTCTCGTGGCAATAGACTCAGGTGATGAGCTGTGCAGAGAAAAAATGTGCCCAGAAAGGCTTGATCCCATCTTGAGCCCCAAGAGCATCTAAGAGAAGCCCTGCACCTCCCAGCCTAAGTGAGCAGCCAGGGTTCCATGAGACCTCAGGACCAACCCCCCTCTGTGGCAGTTCATCTGAGTGAGTTCAGTCACTGGACAGGGACCTCAGGGACCAGAGCAGAGCAGGCCCTGAAATGACACAGCCACACATGCACGTCCTCTTACCTGGGTCAATGGTCACTTTAACACGGAACCCAGGGTCAGTTCCAGCTCTCTTAATCCCACACCAGTAAGTGTCTGTATCTTCTCTCCTGAGCTCCTTCATGGTCACAGTCAATGTGCGGTTTGTCCGATAGTCCCTGATGGACACACGCTCCTTCACCCCAAACGCTGATCCATTGGTTTTAACAAGGATCTTGCAGCTTTCATATTCAGCCCCTCGACACCACCACTTCCTGTAGGTCTCCCAATATGGGTCATAGCGACACTGCACGGTCAAGACTCCCCGCTCCAGACCTCTCACTGCTTCTGGACCCGTGATGTCAACTGATGAGCCTGGAAAACACAAACCCATGTACCTGTCACCTTACCCCCACGTCCCCACCCTGAGACCAGGGCCACAGCCACCTGCACTGTGAGCAGCTCCAGCAAGTCCAAGGCCTGATGAGTGGGACAGAGTTAAGGAAGGAATTCACCTTCCACAACACAGACCTTTGTCCTTCAAAGTTCCACTGGCTCAGAGCCACCTCCAAAACCACCTAACGGCACAACTGCTGAGCTCAAGGAAACAAAAGCACTGACTCTGAGCAATAATTATCTCCTATAATTCGCTCCCTCCCATTCCCTGTGGCCCATAAATCTTTGTCCTTTTGCAACATCTCAGTGTTAAACTGGTCTCATTGCCACAGGAGTGTGATTGCTCCTGACCTGTGCTGATGGCCTCAGGAGGTCCAGCTGCTATGAATGTACATATACACTTTTTTGCTTGGATATGTTTTCAATTCTCTCAGCTATGTACCTAGGAATGGAATTGCTGGTTCACAGGGTAACTCTGTGGAACTCTTGGGGCAACTGTTAGGTTTTTTCCTAAGAATTTACTTTTGAATACAGTTTTGGCTATGTTGCCTAAGTTTCGATATGTAGTATTTTCATTTTTCTTAATGAGTCTTTGCCTGCCCGGTGTGGCTCAATGGTTGAGCATCAACCTATGACCCAGAAGGTCATGGTTCAATCCAGGTCATGGCACATGCCCAGTTTTGAGCTTGATTTCCAGTAGGAGGCGTGTAGGAGGCAGCCGATCAATGTTTCTTTCTCATCATTGATGTTTCTATTTCTCTCTCCCTCTCCCTTCCCCTCCAAAATCAATAAAAAGTATATTTTTTTAAAAAGAAAGAAGAGTGCTTGAAAAAATTCCATCATATGAACAGACCATTTATATTTTATTTATGCATCAGTTGATGCACATGTGAGTTGTTCCCACTTTTGGGTTATTAGAGATAATGTTGCCATGAACATTTGCATCCAACTTTTTACATGGACATATATTTTCAATTATCTTGGGTATGTACCCAGGAGTGGAATTTCTGGGTCAAATGATAACCACACGTTTAGCATTTTCAAGAATGTCAAATTGTTTTTCCAAAGTGGCTGAGCTATTTTACATACCCATGAGCAATGTATGTCCTCTCTAATGAATGTTAAGAGTTTCAATAGTTCAGTTCTATGAAAGTAGAAAGATTTGGTCTGAGGGTGGGATGGTTACAACAATCATATGGCTTCCATTAGATACATTCACTCATTTAACTCATACTATTTGTCTAATCTGTACCTGGTATGGTTGTAGGTACAAAAAATCCCTGCCCTCCTGAAGCTTATATTCAATCAAGGTCGGGGAAGGGAGGAGACAAACGGGAGAAAAATGATGCCAAAAAAATTGTTATTGTAATTAGGGTCATCAATGAAGGCCTCTGTGAGAAGCAAAGACTTGAAAGTTGTGAGGACTGGAACCTGTGGCTCAAGAGAATAGCAGTGCAAAGGCCCTGAGGCAGGAGTGTGCCTAGCATGTTCAAAGAGCATCTAAAAGTTCATTGTAGTTGAAATGGGTTGAACCAGGGGGAGCAGAATAGAGAAGAGCCCACAGCAATGACATGGAAGAACCCAGATGGTGAGCACCTGGTAGCTCAGTAAGGAGCTGGATTTTTACTCCGAGTGGGATGGGAGGTCATAGGAAGGTTTTGACTAGAGGAGAGACAGGATGTGGCTTACATTGTCAAAGGGTCATTATGGGATGTGAGAGGAGATGGATGCCCAGGTTTTGCCTGAGCACCTAGAAGGATGGAGGTTCCCAACACAAAGGTGGGACAGAAAGGAATTCAAGGGGGAAGGAGTAGTTAGGTCACATTTGAAATGTCAATATATGAGTGGAGTTGTTCAGTGGGAAATTGGGTAGAAGATTCTGGAATCTAGGAAGTTGTCCAGGGACTAGAAATACAGAATTGGGAGTCATCCGTATAGAGATAGCATTTAAAGCCAAGAGAGGAGATGTGATCAACAAGGGAGTGACTCCAGAGAGAGAAGAAGCCCAAAGGCCTAGCCCTGAGGCCTTCCAACATTTTCAAGACAACCCCCTTAATTTTTAATCAAACCAGTGGCATCCAGCAACTTCAAGTTCACTTCAACCCTCTGTCCATGTCTCAGTCCCTCCTTTCCTCTTCACCCTACCAAGCTACCTCCTCTTGATTTATCCAGTCCCTCTGCAACTTCTGCTACTTCCTTCCACCTCAAAGACCTAGAATCACCTCCCCTCCCCCTCCCTGTCTGGCAACCTCCCTGCTTTCCTTCCCTCAAGCACCTTCCACCTTCACTTCTTTCCCAAAGCCTCCCTTGCCTCTAACACAGTCACGAAGGTCCAGGAGCAAGCATTACCAGCTCCCCTGTGCAGCCAGAGATCCTCTGCTGTGACCGATGGGCCCCATCCATCTGTCCATCTTGAATTAACAGCCCCGGGGTGGTTAGAAGGTATGCCTTCTGCTGAGCTCAGTGTGAAAGCCAGGCTGCACATTTCTTCGTTGGCAACTGTAGCCACTGAAACACTGGTGGTGAGTTGAGTGGATGAACCGCACAGGCTCATGGCTTGGAGGAACTACTTAGAAATGGGGTCCACTTCTCAGCCAGGACACCTTCTGGGCCACTTCTCCCCCTGGCAGCCACCTCCTCCTGCTGCCACCTCCTCCTGCCCATAAGCTTTTCCCACAAGTTCAGACCCAGATCCCACTTACCTGGAACCCAGAAGAGGAGGGGAAAGAGCAGCAGCAGGTACATTTTCAGCCTCCCACGGGTCCCCCTGGGTCGAGCCCCTCAGCAAGACTGAACTAGAAGTTCGACTCCTTCATCCTCCAGCCCTTCTGCTTTCACTCACAGTCACTCTCACACTTCCTCCCCCAGCCACTTCCCAGGCGTGAATAGAACCAAAAGAGGAAGTAGATGTAATGGGCAAGATTTCATAGTTATTGTGAATAAGATTTTAAGTAATACTCCCTGCCCAGAGCCACGATGGTTCTCTAAAGAGAGAACTTGCGGTGTTGCTCTGTCTTCTAGAAATTGCAGACACATGACAGGCTGGCTCTTGCACAACCGTCTCAACTGGAGGTGGGGAACCCAGCTCCCAACAGAGGGCCCAGCACTGGACATGATACCCTAAACCTGGAATTTCAGGTGTAGTCAGATTCTCAGGAGCCCAGAAGGTCAGGATTCTGGACCAGAGATTGGAATGAAGATAAGGCCAAGGGGGTATCAAAACCCAGCCTGCAAAGAAAGGGGCTCAGAGACAGGGCACCTGGTAGCTCAGTAAGGGGCAAGGGGCAAGAGGGGCCTCTGTCCTGAGGACATACCGGAAGCTCACTGCTGTGCCCCCGCCCTCCAGGTGAGAGCCCATGGATATCAACCCCAGCCTGAATCCTCCATAAACTTGTCAGTAATGCCAAGGGCTCCTTAATGGAGAAACTGGTCCATGTGCCCTGGCCGGGTGGCTCAGTTGGTTGGAGGGTAGTTGTTCTGATATGCCTGGGTTGCAGGTTTGATCCCAGTCAGGGAATATACAATAGGCAACCAGAGGAATGCATAAATAAATGAAACAACAAATCGATGTTTCTCCTCTCTCTCTCAAAAGCAATCAACAAATAATTTTTTTAAAAGAAAAACAAACCAGCTTATTGCTCTTGGCCATCTTCCCTCGCTCCTCACACCCCCACCCCTTATAAAACCTATCACTGTTGCTTCCTTTAAGACATGTTCTGCAGGTCTTTCTCCCCTTTTCCTGTAACTCGGTGCCCATACCCCAACTTCCACCCCCTTTGGGATCCCAGCAAGCCCTCAGGGTGGGGCTCAGAGTTTAGGAAAAGATAGAGCCTTTCTCATATTTCCCTCCTGGAGCCACTTTGGCCATGTGTCACACACACCCTGTGACATCTTGAGGAGCCACTGAGTCCCGAGGGGAGACCTCAGGCCTTCCTACCGAACCAGGAGTGAATAGGAGAGCAGGGGGGTTCTTTGCACAGAAAACACAGCAGCTGACGAGCCAGGACTTTTCCAGGAAGTGGCCAGAACCAGCCTTTCGCTTCACAAGATCAACTATCCAATCGGGTGAGAGCCTGCTCAGCCTTGTGACCCCACTTCTCTGCAAGCACATCCTCTGCCCAGGGTCTCTGAAAATGGGGGGGGGGGTTAGTTTCTAGGGAAAATGACGGCCCTGAGAAACCAAGGGGGCAGGAGCTTTCCTGGCCTTTCTTGGGCGTGGGAGCAGGGAGTGAACAGCCTCTGAGCTGCTGAGGGTTCTGCCTGTGGCCCGGCCCCTGATCCTAGGCCTCCTGCCCCCACCGACCCGAGGAGGCTGCCCTTGGAGTCCAGAGCAGGGAGTTATTATCTGGTTCTCTGAGTGTGACGGCAAGACTGTACCTGTGTGTAAGAGTGTGTCTCTGTGTATGTGCCTACCCTCTGTCCATGTGTGCATCTGTGTGCATCTGTGTGAATGTGTCTATGTGTGGGTTTGTGTGTGTGTGTGCACACATGTGTGTGTGTGTTTACAAGGAGCCCACTGTCCCAGCCACAACACCATCTCAGAAACCTACTTCACACTGCAGCTCCCGCCTCTCTGTTGCTCCCTTCAGACCATCCTGGTGGGTGACAGTGGCGTGGGAAGACATCTCTGCTGGTCCAGTTCGACCAGGGCAAGTTCATCTCTGGCTCCTTCTCGGTCACTGTGGGATTCACAGTAGTTATTCCCTGCCTCTGGGGCCCCAGTTTGCCTCTGTCAGGGTCCCAGCAGGAAGCAGGTGGTCACTCGCGTTGGATCAATCCAGGAGGTTTAATAAACAGACTATTGACCAAGGTGCAGGCAGGGTGCTGGGAAACCAGGAGGGATGGTGCAGTGTTTTGGGGTCCTTATAGGGCTTCCATCCCCCACCCCACTCCCCAGCCTAAGAGAGGTGAGAGGAGGGAACCATCACAGACCCAGGGACCAAGAGGGCTGTGTGCAGGGGGTTGGCGGGCAGGAGCTGTGACCATCAGTGGAGGAACGCAGCAAAGCCCAGTAACCCTCCCCCCACACTGCCCTCCTCCTGCTCCCCACATATCCTATGGGGCTCCCCATTGATGACACACAACCAGAAGCTGGAAAGCAAGGGAATATATCGATACAGATTGTTCAGGGGCACCTCCCAATGCAACAAGAAGGCAAAGTCATGGCTTGAAAGTTTAAAAACAGTGCAATGAAGCCCGGCCGGTGTTGCTCAATGGTTGAGTGTCGACCTATGAACCAGGAGGTCATGGTTTGATTCCCTGTCAGGGCACATGCCAGGTAGCTGGCTCTATCCCCAATAGGGGGTGTGTAGAAGGCAGCCGATCAATGATTCTCTCTCATCACTGATATGTCTATATCTCTCTCCCTCTACCTTCCTCTCTGAAATCAATTAAAAATATTGAAAAAAATAAAAACAGTCTAATCCTAGCATTGCGGTCCTAGGGCACTGGTAGGTCGAAGTTCCGTTTTTAGCCCTTGGCCTCTCCCTGGACACAGTACGGGCCCGCTGAGATGAGGGAAGTGGTCCCAAATGTCCAGGGAGAACAGAGGAGCGGCGCCAGAGTCTCAGGACTTCGCCTCTGCAAATCCTGGGGAGAGCTGAGCTGCGTGGTGTGACGGGGACGCTCGTTCACTGAGAATCAGGAACGGTGAGCTCCGGGACCGTAATGCCCTGCGAATGCAGCCCGGGTCGCTGAGCCTCCGGAGATCCCATAGCTGAATGAGATAGCACGGGCCGCTGGCTAGACTGAAAGCTGGCGTCCCTCCCCGCATCCTGGAGTCACAAGACAGACCAACCAGGTGTCAGAACGCTGGTCCCGGGCACACAAGGGCGGCATCGCCGTACTGAAAGGCCAAGGTCTCAGACCTGTGCTCCAGGTACCCTCCTCGGTGCCGCGGGAGCTGTCCAGTGCTGAACCGGGATGGGCCCGACCCGTCCCCACCCATGGGACTTAGACCAGAGCCTGCAGCGCCCAGCTGAGCCTGGAGCCCGGACCCAGCTTTTGGAAGCTCTGACGCAGAACGCGGGAGAGCGGGATCGGCGGCCAAGCCGGACATGGACCTGCAGAGACTCAACTCCTACCAGGGGGGAGCTGGCCCTGACTTCCATGAGCATGTCCTGCATAAGGTAAGACTCCCCTCCAGGCCCCCCGCCCCCGTCCCAACGCTGACGCCCTCACCAGGAGTTCTCTCTGTTCCCCTGACTTGGCTTAGGGACTTAAAAAGAAACTCGCCCCTATCCGTGAGCCTAGGGAACGCTTTCTGTTGGATCCTGTTTACTGCTCAAAACAGAGATGCGTGTGCTTTGGGGGAGGGGCCGCCGCCAGAGGTTCAGATCGCCAGGAGCTTCGTTCATTCATTTAAATCACCGGCGTCCCTTTCTCATTCACCCCCTCCTGCCTCTCATCCATCTGAACTCCCGTGTAACCGCTGGGGAGGCTGTTTGTCTTCCCACCCAGGCACCATTAGGTCCTATAGTTGTGGTCAAAGACCTGTCATGTGGCCCATGAGAACTTTCACTTCCAACTTGGTTAAAATTAGACACAGAAGTGATCTGCAGCAGGAAAGAAAAAAAAACCTGTTGTTTTCAAACCAGACTCCCTCGTGACTCCAGAAACCTGCCCTCCAGCCTTAACTTAGTCATATCATCCTGAAGCTGTCTGCTTATTTCGAAGTTCTTGTTCATCCGTGGCTTCCCTCATTCGAGTTCCTTATGCAACTCAGTTCTCAGTAATGTAGGTCGACTCTTGAAGCGATTGTTGGGGAAAGTGGCAGCCTCGCTCTAGGCAACACTTTTCATCCAACATCCATTGCTTTGAAAGAATCAGAGCCTTCTATTTGCTGCAAGAAGTCACTGTGGGTCCTCATGACTCCTCATTCCATCCTTATAGTTTCTACTTTGCTGATATCACTTTATTTGTCAGTCCCAGAGAGGCTGTGCATTGTCCTGTACTTGGAGATTTTTAAAGATCAAAATACCCTTCTGAAAATTCCATGACGCAAGCTCTGAAATAATACGACTCATCCTCTTCCCTTATTGCACAGTTTATATTTGAGGAAACTGAAGTCCAGAGAGCCAAAGTGACTATCCAAGGAAACAAGGTAGGAAGTGGCAGAGCTGATACTAAAAGCCAGGAATTTTGATGCTGGGTCTCATATGTTTTCTCTGTACAAGTGTGGTCCATAGAGCAGCAGCATTAGCATCGCCTGAGAGCTTGTTAGAGAGGTGAAACCTCAGTCTCCTCCCGGATCTGCTGCATCTGCATCTGTAATTTAACAGGATCCTTAGGAAACAAATATACACATTGAAGTTTCAGACACACAGCCCTGTGTCATGCTGGCTACTTCTGACACAAATAAAGGAATATCGGTCATTGGAAGGAGCAGGTCTGTAGACTTGAACAGTCCATGTGACTTCTCCCTCCAGGCCTCTGAACCCGTGGGGTATAGAAGAGAAGGATTTATCACAACTGCCCCGTCTGAAAGTTTTAAAACCATTACAGTTTGAAGTAAACTGTTATCAAATCTGTGTTTTTTGAGGTTGTGAGTCTAGCCTCTATAGACAGTCTATGCAAGCAAAGGAACATAATTACCAATCAATTACAAAAGCAACCTGGTGACTAGATACATGGGTCTAAGCTTAAGCCACCTTATAAAGATAGAAATATTCCTTTTTAAAGGTTATGATTCGGAGGTCACAGTTTTCAAGTTGTTGATCAAGTAAGGTCGTTCCCACCTCAGTTACTCACACATGAAATGCGGGATGTGGCCCATGAGAACTTTCACTTCCTTTGGGCTTACTGATCAACAAATTGGGAAAGATCAGCAAACTGCTAATAAATGCCTGGTGTTTTGAGCTTGGGTGTGAGCCTCTTGAGAGAAGAAGCTGGCTTTAAACCTTCTGGGGTCTCAACAGAGTGACATGTGTGGGTAGAAAGTTTTTATTTCTATGATAACGCTGACTACCTCTAACTGATATTATTTCATTATTGTGCATGACTTTTTTATTGTCATCCACTTAAAAAATTCATTTGTAAAGGGGCAGGGTATCAACGTATTTGTCTTATTTTTTAAGTTTGCTGTGTAGTAATTCCTGCTGTCTCGTTAGGATGCAGTGACCATGGGATGTAGGCTCCCCTCCAACCTTAGTTGCTAGGAAGAACAGTTTTAAAATAAACCTTTTATTGAAGTATAGCAACCACAAGAAAAGCTCAAATCATACAGGTGCACCCTGATGGATTATCACAAAGTGAGCACCTCTGGGCAACCACTACCAAGACACAGAGATGGAACCTTCCAGCTTCCCAGAACTCCCCCCACATACCCCGTCCCACACACTCCCCCCTTCTGCCTCCCCAGACATTACCATTATGGAGGAGGAAGAATCATTTCATGTTTTGACAGAGCAGCCAGATGTTACGTAAAATAGTCTAGACACTTGCCAGAAGAGAATCGCTATATGGTGAAAGCCCAGAAGAGTGAGCGGCTTCCCTCCCTGTGGAATGTCTCCATCCCTCCCTGTGGAATGTCTGCATCCCTCCCTGTGGAATGTCTCCGGCAGCTTGTTTTCCTCCTGCTGGAAAGCCAGGAGACTTTCAGATAAATGGATGAAGTGCAGGTCACATCACTGGTGATCGCTGGCTTGTGGGTCCTGCCCAGATCCCAGGGCAGGCAGCTGGCATGGGGGTGGCGCTGGCTGGTCCTCCTGGACAGCATTGAGCAATAAAGGATGGTGACTCAGACCAACCCCCAATGTCATTTTCCACGCTCTGCAGGCCTCCCCCTCTGCGCTCTCCCCTCTCCTGTGGAGTCCCTGGGCCCTTTCGTGAGAAAGTTCCTGGAACGCATGGCTGTTGGTGTGCTGATGTTTCCTCTTACAAGCTGCTCTGGGGAAGGGCTCTGACTTCCTCCATGTTCAGGGCAGGAAACCCAGCTTGGCTGGAGGTAAACAGCCAGAGGTGAGCACCCAAGGGGGGAAGTGTTGAACGGACACTTGAAGTGGCTCTAAATTTACCCCGGCCTGCTCCTGTCTCCACCTCCCGCTCCGCCAGAGAAGCCTCCCTGGAGCCCACAGGGGAGGATGGGGGTGCAGCTCCTCTGCTCATGTGCAGAGCACGCGGGCAATGCCCTTCCCAGCGGGGTCCATCCTCCCAGGGGAGATAATGGTGTAATTGTTGAAAGAAGTGGAGCTCCAGAGTCCCCCTAGCAAGTGGTTCCTATTCCCTGAGATGCCAACGTCTGCTCCCTCCTCTTATTTCATTTCTCTGTGTGTGTGTCTCCCCCTCTCTTCCACTACCTCTAAGAAAATCAATGGAAAAATATATGTCCTCGGGTGAGGATCAACAAACAAACAAATAAAATTCATGAAGCAGTACATGCTCTAAAGGAAGCGAAGCAGGGCAACGTGACAGAAAAATCGGAGGCGTCGTGGGGACTTCGCCCGCTAGGGTGGTCAGGGAAGGCCGCTCAGAGAGGGGACATTTGAGCTGAGATGTGATGATGAGCTGTAGCTAACTATTCATCCAGCTGCAAAATGAGGGTTCTGGAAAGAAGGGCAGGCACCTGCCAACGCCCTGAGATAGGAACAAGCCTTATCCTGTAAGAAGGACAGCAGGAAGGCCCCTGGGGATGAAGGACAGTGAGGGGCAGGAAGGTTGGCAGAGACAGGGTCATAGGCGCAGGCAGGGACCATGGGGTCCCGGTGGCCTCATAGGCTGCGGAAGAAGCCGCCCGAGGGTGATAAGCAGGGAGTGAGCAGGTCTGGCTGCTGGGAGAATGGACACAGATGGAAAGAGGGACTCCAGCCAGGGGATGGATGGCATCTTGGACGAGGCTGGTCACCATGGAGACAATGGGACTGGACAGGATTCAGGACATGCTCTGGAGAGAGGGCTACCGGGACTCCAGAAGAAGCATGGTCAGTCCGGAGCTTGTAAATATTTACTAACTATCTGTGTGTGAATGCACGTGCCTGCACACACACACACACACACACACACACACACACACACACACACACACTATCCTCCCTAGATCCACAGTGCAGGGTGGTGGCCCAGACTCTGGAGGCAAAATGCCCGAGTTCAAATTCCAACTCATCCACTTGCTGGTGAAAAAACTCGGTAAGTCACTGAACCTCTCTGGACTGTAGAACAGGGAAGTAATGAAGGTGCCCTGGTAGGGCTGCTGTGAGGATTGAATGAGTTACTGTAGGGAGAGCACTTAGGAGGGAGCGCCTGCCACAATAGGGTGTTCGTTTCCAATGTTGCCGCATCAATTAGTGGCTTCATGTAAACAACATACATTTATTCTCCTACAGTTCTGGAGTCGGGGTCTCCACGAGACTGGTTCCTTCTGACGCACCCAGTCCTTGACTTTTCCAGCTTCTAGAGGCTACAGCTTTCCTTGGCTCCTGGCCGCGTCATCTCAACCTCTGCTTCCGTCGTCACAGCCCCTTCTCTTGTGACCTTCTTGCCTCCCTCTTATAAGGAGCCTTGTGGTTCTATTTAGGGCCTGCCAGGATAATGCAGAATAATCTCCGCATCTCCAAATCCTTCATTTAATTACATCTGCCCAGCCCCTCTGGCCATAGAAGCTAATGCTCACGGGTTCTGGAGATTAGCACACATAGAACCATATTCAGCCCACCACACATGGCAGCAATAAAGGTTCATTACTATTATTGTCATGATCATCATTATTCCTCCCTCAGCTACCCCAGACCATAGCCCCAGCCTCTTCCCAAACTATGAGGGAAAGGAAGGGAAGTGGGGAGACCCCTTTCTATCTCCCAGAAGCCCCCTGAGACCAGGCTTGGAGCCCAGTTCCGGGCTGGGGGTGATGAGAGGACTGGGAGCAGAAAGCAGACGAGGCAGGAACGTGCTGACAGGCCGCATGTGGGGTCGGACAGGGGGTCCTTTGCACAGCTAAGGCTTCCTGATGGCACTGAATGGGATGAGCTGCTCCTGGCTCCTGCTGGGAAGGGGGGTGATGAGGTCCTGTGTGTTGCTGTAGATTGAGTCCTGATCCAAGGTGTCCAGAGACAGAGCCTCATAGAAAACGTCCGAACCCAGAAAGGAGGCCTGTAACAGAGATGCACGCAGGTCAGGGAAGCTGAGGGGCAGGGGTGCTCATGGATGAGAAGGCCTCCCTGAGGCTGGGGGACACGCCCCTCGGGAACTCTGAAGTCTACTCCCAGGCCCTCCAGCCCCGCCTCCCTCCTCCCTGCAGGGCACCCTGAGCTCCAGCCACAGCAGGAGACTCTCCCTCAACTCCATGCCAGGGCAGCACGTTCTGCGTGTGCTCCCAGGTCACTGGGCCTGTCTGGGTCTCCATTGACCAGGCTCCCAGTCCCCCATGTGGAGACCTGATATGGAGACACTTCCGAAGGCCAAGCACCTTGGGGAGCTCAGAGGCAAGTCTTTCAATGGCTGCGATTGTGCCAGGCACCCACCCTCCTCTGTGCCCACAGGGGCAAGAGAAAGTCCATCCTCAAAGCAGGGACGATGAATCCAAGGCCCACAGCAGCCCCAGCAAGTACCCACCATGGTGATGTACTCCACTTCCCCCTGGTCGTCCTGGGCAGAGGAGGAGGGCTGTGTGGGGGCCCTTTTACTGAAGGAGCTGAGCGAGGCTCCTGTCTGCTTCCAGGGCAGGTTGGCATAGCAGACATTGTCCTCCGGGGGCTGGAGCACCTGTGAGAGGAAGCCCAGGTTCCTCTTCCGCAGAAGGACGCCAGCCCCTCTGCTGCTCTGCCCCACCCTCTCCCAGCTTCCCCTGTAGCTTCCACCTCTCAGTCTCCCACACCTGCTCCCTCCCTCCTGGCTGTTTCCAGAACCCCCTCCGGTCATCCAGGCCTTGCAGCTGGGAGGATCTGGACACTTGGGCACATGGTCTGTCTGATACATTTGAACCTCAGGGCCCCTGAGAGATGGAAAATAAGAAAAGAGGGGGAAAGTGCTGTCTGGTATATCCAGTCTGACCTCAGGGGCTCTCTTACCTGCTCTGGGGGTATCCCAGCAGCTAAAAGACAAAAACAACCAGAATTAGAAAGCTCATCCTGGGACTGGGAGGGTCCCCAGGTCTGGGGGAGAGAAAAAGAAAAGAAAAGAGGTGAATGAGGCTCCAGAAGGGAGACCTGGTTCTAATTCTGACTCTTCAGATGACACAGTCTGTGACATGGGGCATTCACCTCTCTGGGCTTCCATTTCTGGACTTGAAAAATAAGGGGACCTCAGCTCATCTGTTCCCCTCATCACAGAACTGTGACATCAACTGACTGGGGGGCCCAGCCAGCCATCAGCGTCCTGGGATTGTTTCCCTCACTGCCATCCCAGGGCCATCCTGTAATGTCAACCAGAAGCTCTGCCTGGAATGCTACCGGGAGCTCTACCTCATCCGTCATTCACACCGACCTTCCCAGCCACCCGGCTGTCTGATCCCCTCTCCCCAGCTCTCACTGCACTTGATGTCTGTCCGTCTCATACATCAGACGGTCCCACCGAATTCCGGTTAGACTTCAGGTGGGCTGTGGGCTGCTGGGCGGCTGAGCCTGCCCTTCCTCGCATGGCCGGCGCCTGGCTGTGCCTGACACACGGGTGCCCATCAGTAAAAGTCATCTGTGGAGACCCAGGGGTGCCAAGCTGGGTCAGCAGCAGATAGACCAGCTTTCAGGTGTTCGCTGGTTCCCATTTCTGTCTGTCCTTTGGCCCTCCCCTGGCCTCCCAGCTTTAGAGACAACAACGAAACAAGACGTTTTCCCGCCAGATTTTTAGTTTCAGAACTCTAGATACTGAGAAGCACAGAAAGTACATACAACATGAGTCATGGACAATGCACTTGGGAGAAAACGTGATGAACAGAGCTAGGCTCCCTCCTCCCAGATTATAAGATCCCCCAGGCTGGGGGGAGGGAGCGGGCTGGAGAGGACCCCATGAGAGATTGCAGGTCCCAGTGGGCTCTGAGAAGGGGCGGTGCCATTATGTGAGGACGTGGAAGTGGAGCCAGACAGGAGGAGGGTTTGCTTGGAGCCAGATCCCGTTGGATGATGCTGGCTTATGAGTGAATGGCTGGGGTGGAGGAGGAGCAAAAGTAGGAATCTCAACCAACCTTTATAATAAAACCCAGAGGATTCTGTGTGTGACGCATATGCATGCACACGTGTGTGCATACATATCATCTGTGTTTACACATGTATGTGTTATCTGTGTGTGCACGTGCAATGTGTTGTGTTGCATACATGTGTGTGTGCTCATGCAGGTGTGTGCACATTCACGTGAGTGTGTGTGTGTGTGTGTGTGTGTGTGTGTGTGTTTCTCCCTACCCCCATGTCAGCTCAGTACCTCCTTGGCAACCATAGGAATTTCACTGAAGTGTCTGCGCACCTGACATGGGCATGAGGTCATTGCCATTGGTCCACACACTTGAGCTCCAAGGAGCCAACCCTGTTGACATCGGCCCACACACTTCCACCCAGCCCAGCCCAGCCCAGCCCAGCCCAGCCAGGTCCTCTCACCTTCCTTCTGTCGCTTCACCACTCTCCACACCAACAGTGAGACTACCGCCAAGACAAGCAGCAACAGAACAATGAAGAGGGGCAGGGAGATGCAGAGCTTCAGGGAGTCGCCACTGGAAACAACAAAAGACACCGGTGAGCCCTGGCTCACCTCCTGCCTCTGGGCCTTATCCCAGCCACCCGGTAGCAGACGGGGCCACACACCTTTTGACTCGCAGTTTCCAGCCTGGGAACCCCACTCCTGGGTGCCCTCAAAAATGGCTGTTGTTTTTAAAGGAGAGGAGGGCTCCACAAGGGAGTTTCAATGGGTCTAGAAGCCTAAGAGAAGTTGTATGACAACAGGCACCGGCAAGGTCTCCCTGCTTCCTCACTGGTCCTCTGCCCTGGTTGCATAGTGTCCCCCAGCCCACAATTCATGTCACTCCGAACCTGGGAAGATGACCTATTTGGAAATAAGAGCTTTGCAGATGTGATCAAGATGATGTCGTACTGGATTAGGGTGGGCCTAACCCAATGACTAGTGTCCTTATAAAAGGAAAATTGGGGCAACAGGGACACGGTCATGGAGACCATGTGACAACAGGGGCAGAGACTGGAGTGATTCAGCCACAGGCCAAGGAACGCCAAGGATTGCTGGCCACCAACAGCCAAGACAGAGGCATGGGACAGGTTCTACCCCCACGTCAGCTCAGTGCCTCCTTAGCAACCACAGGAATTTCACTGAAGTGTCTGGGCACCCGAAATGGGCTTAAGGTCATTGCCATCGGCCCACACACTTGAGCTCCAAGAAGCCAACCCTTTCGAAACCTTGATTTCAGATCATGGACCTCCTGGGCTGTAAGAGAATAAACTTGTCTTGTGTTAAGCCACCCAGTTTGTGCTATTTCGTTATGGCAGCCACAGGAAACTCATACATCCTCCAACATACACACACACACACACACACACACACACTACAGTTCATCATCAGCACAGCAGCCAGGGAATGCTTTTAATCAAAGTTCAGCATCTCCCTCCTGTGCTCAGAGTCCCATAACAGCCCCATTTCATTCCAAGAAAATGGCCAAGGCTGACATTGGCTTCCACTGTCTCCCCTCACCCCCACCCGCTCTCCTCATTTCTTACTCTTCTCGCCCTCGCTTGCTCTTCTGGAAAGGAAATGACTGGGGTTATTATAATAAGAAGAAGAGATTGGGACACAGACCCACACAAAGGGGAAACCAGGCAAGAAAGTCCTCTGTGAGCTCCCAGGTGGTCTAGAGACTCCAGGAATTGTCAGGATCCCCGCTGTTACCATAACAGTAACAAGGAATTCATAACAGAAACAGGACTTCCCCAGGCCCTTCCTGTTCTCCCAGAATTTGGACCAGGGGGCACTGTGGCCCCATGACCCTGTGCCCACACACTTTAGCCGTGCCTTCTGCCCTGACTGCCGGCTCCTCCATCTCCCACACTCTCAGCTCCGCATGGGACGCTTTATATCTGTGTGACCTGAGCTCAACACAGTGCCGGCCAAGCAGAATTTAACTCAGTGGAAGTGGGATGGATGCGTGACTGAACCAACAAACCTCCGAACTGCACTGAGCTCCAGGACGCAGGATGGGGGTGGGGGCTCACCAAGGACACTGTGCGGCCTGAGAGCAAGAGGAAGGGCCCCTGGCATCCTGGCTGGGACGTGGGACTACAAAGGGTCCCCACACGGGAGAAGTTTGGGACCAGTGGGCACAGGGAACAGCAGCATCCAAGCTGACTTACCTGCCATCAGGATGGAGGCTGGTCACATTCAGGAAGCCTGAGGAGTCTTCTGGGGTGTCTGTGAACGCGTTGGCAGTGGAGGCGATGGTGGGGGTGGGGGTCGGCACTGTAGTTGCTGCTTGTCATACAGAACAGATTACATTCCACTCTCCTGCTAACCCACCCGCAGCCCTGCACGTAGCTCAGAGCCAGGGAGGATGTGGGCTGCCCTGGCCTGCAGAGCCTGGGGCAGGGCCACGGGAAGGGGCCTACAGCTGGGCCACTCATCTCTTTGGCCGTAGGAGACCTGGGCACAGGTCCAAGGGGTCATCACACAGGCCCGGGAAGGCTCAGGGGGCCCAGGATTGCCTCAGGGCAATGGCAGCTGGAGTTCAGCTAAACTTTAAACACTTCCGCTGTTTATGGCAGGGCCTCCGCCAGTACCTCCCCCATCTTACTTATCCAGCAAGGACCAGAGCAGAATGGGGACGTGCCAGGTAACTAACATACCCAAGAGCTATGACTTCTAAGGTCAGGGCCAGCCCCGAGCAAAATCACGATGCTCAGGAAGAGCCTTTCCTTTGGACACGTTTTTAAGTTTCTATGATGGGGTAGTTCCTGCTCAGGATCATTCTCGAGATCCCATGAGACAAGGAACGTGCTGCACTTGGCAGCTACCACAGGCCTCCCGGGTTCCAGGTGTGGTGGGGACGCTATGACTGTGTCCCCTCCCGGCCATGAGTGCCCTGTGAGCTGGTGCTGGCTGTCCGAGGGTCGGCAGAAGCAGAGCCCAACAGACACACTTGTTCACACCCAGATGTTCCCAGGAGTGTCTATTCTAGAAGGTGTTAGGAAGAGAATGACTCTAAGCCCAGATGCACCCATGGCTCATGGTGGGATGTCAGGCGCCCAGAATGCAACTGTTGGGCTGTGGAAGCCTTTCCAGACCTCGGGAGTGACCCACAGCCCCCAACTGTGCTGGGCCTCCTTCCCCCTGAGACCAGATATGGAACAAGGGGTGGGAACAACAGCTATGAGCCCGGGCCCCAACCTCCAGGAAGAGCAGGGACACCAGGGCACCAGAGGTGCCAGGGAAGCCTTGGCAGAAATTGGTTCCCACAGAAGAGGCTTCCTTCAGCCCATGAGCTAAAACTGGGGCCATCACGTGGTCTCTATGGCAATAGACTCAGGCAATGAGCTGTGCAGAGAAAAAAATGTGCCCAGAAAGGCTCGATCCATCCTGGGGAGGTCCTGGGAGCCCCAAGAGCATCTAAGAGAAACCCTGAGCCTCCCAACCTAAGTGAGCAGCCGGGATTCCATGAGACCTCAGGACCAACCCCCCTCTGTGGCAGTTCATCTGAGTGAGTTCAGTCACTGGACAGGGACCTCAGGGACCAGGGCAGAGCAGGCCCTGAAAGGACACAGCCACACATGCATGTCCTCTTACCTGGGTCAATGGTCACTTTAACAGGGACCCCATAGTCAGATCCAGTTCTCTCAATCCCACACCAGTAAGTGTCTGTGTCTTCTCGCCTGAGCTCCTTCATGATCACAGTGAACATGAGGCTTCTCGGATGGTCCCTGATGGACACACGGTTCTTCTTCACCATCTCTGATCCATTGGTTATAACGAGGATCTCACAGCTAATCCAGTCACGCCCACGACACCACCACTTCCTGTAGGTCTCCCACCCGGGGTCATAGTGACATTGCACAGACAATGAGTGCCACTCCCCGCCTCTCACTTCTTTTGGTCCCGAGATGATATACGATGAGTCTGGAAAACACAAATCCATATATCTGTCACCTCCCCCACCACCACCCCGAGGGTCGGGCGGCAGCCACCTGCACTGTGAGCAGCTCCAACAAGTCCAAGGCCTGATGAGTGGGACAGAGTCAAGGAAGGAATTCACCTTCCACAACACAGACCTTTGTCCTTCCAAGTTCCATTGGCTCAGAGCCACCTCAAAAATCACCTAATGGCACAACTGCAGAGCTCAAGGAAACAAAAGTACTGACTCTGAGCAATAATTATCTCCTATAATTCACTCCCTCCCGCTCCCTGTGGCCCCTAAATCTTTGTCCTTTTGCAACATCTCAGTGTTAAACTGGTCTCACCACAGGAGGAGTGTGATTGCTCCTGACCTGTGCTGATGGCCTCAGGAGGTCCAGCTGCTGCACCCGCTCACCTGGCTGTGCAGAGGCTGCTCCTAGTGGGTCTAGTGGTTCCACAGCAAAGCACCCGCTGCAGGGCCTTTGACATTGACCACAGCAGTGATGCCAACCATGGAATCCATATCACACTGATCCCATGTTCTCCTTTGAATTGCTTTGGTTTCTTTGTCAAAAAGTAAATATGTGAGTTACTTATAGATTTTCCTTGCTGACCCATTGATCCCTTTGTCTATCCTTATGCCAATCCATCGTATGGACAGACCACATTATATTTATTTATGCATCAGTTGATGCACATGTGAGTTGTTCCCACTTTGGGGCTATTTGGGGATAATGTTGCCATGAACATTTGCATCCAACTTTTCACATGGACATATATTTTCAATTCTCTTGGGTATTTACCCACGAGTGGAATTGCTGGGTCAAATGGTAACCGTATGTTTAGCATTTTCAAGAATGTCAAATTGTTTTCCAAAGTGGCTGCACCATTTTACATACCCATGAGCAATGTATGTCCTCTCTAATGAATGTTAAGAGTCTCAATAGTTCAGTTCTATGAAAGTAGAAAGATTTGATCTGGGGGTGGGGTGGTTTCAGCAGTCATATCGCTTCATTGCCATTAGATACATTCACTCATTCAACTATTTTTCTTTTTTTAATACATTTTATTGATTTTTTACAAAGAGGAAGTGAGAGGGATAGAGAGAGTTAGAAACATCAATCAGCTGCCTCCTGCACACCCCCTACTGGGGGTGTGCCCGCAATCAAGGTACATGCCCTTTGACCGGAGTCGAACCTGGGACCCTTCAGTCCCCAGGCCGAGGCTCTATCCACTGAGCCAAACCGGTTAGGGCTCAACTATTTTTCTAATCCGTACTTGGTATGTTTGTAGGTGCAAAAATCCCTGTCCTCCTGAAGCTTATATTCAATCACGGTGGGGGAAGGGAGTAGACAGACAATGGGAAAAAATGATGCAAAGGAATTGTTATTGTAATTAAGGTCATCAATGAAGGCCTCTGTGAGAAGCAAAGATGTGAGGGACTGGAACCTGTGGCTCAAGAGAATAGCAGTGCAAAGGCCCTGAGGCAGGAGTGTGCCTACCATGTTCAAAGAACATCTAAGAGGCCAGTGTGGATGAAGTGGTTGAACCAGGGGGAAAAGAATAGAGAAGAGCCCACAGCAATGAGATGGAAGAACTCAGATGGGTCAAGGAAGGAATTCAAGTAAGGAGCTGGATTTTTACTCCGAGTGGGATGGGAGGTCACTGGAAGGTTTTGACTAGAGGAGAGACAGGATGTGGCTAACATTGTCAAAGGGTCATTATGGGATGTAAGAGGAGATGGATGCCCAGGTTTTGCCTGAGCACCTAGGACAGTGATGGCGAACCTATGACACGCGTGTCAGAGGTGACACGCGAACTCATTTTTTTGGTTGATTTTTCTTTGTTTAATGGCAAGTAAATATATAAAATAAATATCAAAAATATAAATCATTGTTTTACTGTGGTTGCAAATATCAAAAAATTTCTATATGTGACACAGCACCAGAGTTAAGTTAGGGTTTTTCAAAATGCTGACAAGCCGAGCTCAAAAGGTTCGCCATCACTGACCTAGAAGGATGGAGTTTCCCAACGCAAAGGCGGGACAGAAAGGAGTTGAAGGGGGAAGGAGTGGTCAGGTCACATTTGAAATGTCAACATCTGAGTGGAGTTGTTCAATGGGCAATTGGGTAGAAGATTCTGGAATCTAGGAAGGGACTAGGGATACAGAATTGGGAGTCATCTGTATACAGATACCATTTAAAGCGAAGAGAGGAGATGAGATCAACAAGGGAGTGACTCCAGAGAGAGAGGAAGCCCAAAGGCCAAGCCCTGAGGCCTTCCAACATTTCAAGACAATCCCCTTAATTCTTAATCAAACCGGTGGTATTCATCAACTTCAAGTGCACTTCAACCCTCTGTCCTTATCTCAGCCCCCCCTTTCCTCTTCACCCTACCAAGCTACCTCCTCTTGATTTTTCCAGTCCCTCAGCAACTTCTGCTACTTCCTTCCACCTCAAAGACCTAGAATCACCTCCCCTCCCCCTCCCTGTCTGGCAACCTCCCTGCTTTCCTTCCTTCAAGCACCTTCCACCTTCACTTCTTTCCCAAAGCCTCCCTTGTTTCTAACACAGTCACGAAGGTCCAGGAGCAAGTATCGCCAGCTCCCCTGAGCAGCCAGAGCTCCTCTGCTTTGACTGATGGGCCCCATCTATCTGTCCATCTTGAATTATCAGCCTGAGGGGTGGTTAGGAAGTATGCCTTCTGCTGGGCTCAGTGTGAAAGCCAGGCTGCATATTTCTTCATTGGCAACTGTAGCCACTGAAACACTGGTGGTGAGTTGAGTGGATGAACCGCACAGGCTCATGGCTTGGAGGAATTACTTAGAAATGGGGTCCACTTCTCAGCAGGACACCTTCTGGGCCACTTCTCCCCCTGGCAGCCACCTCCTCCTGCTGCCACCTCCTCCTGCCCATAAGCTTTTCCCAGGAGTTCAGACCCAGCCCCCACTCACCTGGATACAAGAAGAAGGGAGGGAAGACCATCAACAGGTACATTTTCAGCCTCGCACGGGTCCCCCTGGGTCGAGCCAGTCAGTGAGAGCAACCTACAGACTCACTTCCCACTGGTGAATAGAGCTGAGCGAGGACTTGCAGTGCTGCTCCGTCTCCTAGAAATCGCAGACACAGACCCACCAGGTCAGGCCGGCTCTTACTCAACCCTCTGGACTGGAGGCGGGAACCCAGCTCCAACAGAGAGCCCAGCACTGGACATGATATCCTAAACCTGGAATTTCAGGTGTAGCCAGATTCTCAGGAGCCCAGAAGGTCAGGAGTTCAACCGGTGAAGGAGGACTTGGGGCCAAAGTCAGAAAGTCAGGGGAGAGATTCTGGACCAGAGATTGGCATGAAGATCAGGCCGAGGGGGTATCACAACCCAGCCTGCCAAGAAAGGGGCTCAGAGACAGGGCACCTGGTAGCTCAGTAAGGGGCAAGGGGCAAGAGGGGCCTCTGTCCTGAGGACATACCGGAAGCTCACTGCTGTGCCCCCGCCCTCCAGGTGAGAGCCCATGGATATCAACCCCAGCCTGAATCCTCCATAAACTTGTCAGTAATGCCAAGGGCTCCTTAATGGAGAAACTGGTCCATGTGCCCTGGCCGGGTGGCTCAGTTGGTTGGAGGGTAGTTGTTCTGATATGCCTGGGTTGCAGGTTTGATCCCAGTCAGGGAATATACAATAGGCAACCAGAGGAATGCATAAATAAATGAAACAGCAAATCGATGTTTTTCCCCTCTCTCTCTCTCTCTCTCTCTCTCTCTCTCTCTCTCTCTCTCTCTCTCTTTTGCAATCAATCAATAATTTTTTTAAAAAGAAACTAGCTCATTATGCTTGGCTATTCTCCCTCCCTCCTCCCTCTCCCCCCCCCCCCCCTTATAAAACCCATTTTGCTGATGTAGGGAGAGAAAAGCACCAGTTCTGCAGGTCTTGCTCCCTTTTTCCTACAACTTGGTGCCCATCCCCCCATTTCCCTCCCGACTGGGATCCCAGCAAGCCCTCAGGGTGGGGCTCAGAGGTTAGCCTTTCTCATATTTCGCTCCTGGAGCCACTTTGGCCATGTGTCACACACACCCTGTGACATCTTGAGGAGCCACTGAGTCCCGAGGGGAGACCTCAGGCCTTCCTACCGAACCAGGAGTGAATAGGAGAGCAGGGGGGTTCTTTGCACAGAAAAACACAGCAGCTGATGAGCCAGGGCTTTTCCAGGAAGTGGCCAGAACCGGCCTTTCACTTCACAAGATCAACTACCCAATCGGGTGAGAAACCAAGGGGGCAGGAGCTCTCCTGGCCTTTCTTGGGCGTGGGAGCAGGGAGTGAACAGCCTCTGACCTGCTCAGGGTTCTGCCTGTGGCCCGGCCCTGATCCTGGGCCCACCCGACCCCCTCCGACCCGAGGAGGCTGCCCTTGGAGTCCAGAGCCGGGAGTTGTTATCTGGTTGTCTCTGAGTGATGGCAAGACTGCTCCTCTAAGTGCCTCTGGGGACTCCAGGAGAGGCGGGCTCTGCTGGGGCCCTGTGTCCTCAGTTACCTCCCCAGGCTCACAGGTTCCCACACAAAAGAGGGGATGGAACGGGCCAGTGAGAGTCCTCCTGCACTGAGGCACCTCGTGTATGTGTGCGTGCACGGCTGCATGGGTGCCCCTGAGGGTGGCTCCCCCTCTCAGCTCTGCTCCTGGGCCTTCAAGCTTCTCACTTCTCTGTGAAAGCGAGGAAGAGGCAGATGCGCCCTGAGGCTGCTGGAGCTTAACCATCAGCACCCCTCACTTGATCAGGCTCCTTTCAAAGCCCTGTATCCAATGCTGTGTTCATGACGTAGGTCCCCTTTCCTGAAAACCGGCCTCAACATTGTATAAGCTTCAGGCCTGTGATAGATGGTCCCACCTCTGCTCTTTACTCCACCGTTGTTCTCACTGAAGGGGAGGGTCTATCCGCCCCCCTCACCCCCATTCTATCCTTGAGTCTGGACCAGATCTGTGCCCTACTTTCCCAAGAAAACCCAGCAGAAGTAACGGTGCACCAGTTCCAGACTCCGCCTGCGGAGGCCTCCTGCGCTCCCCCTTGCTCTCATTCACCTCTGCCTCTGCCATGACGACGCACGGGCTAGCGTTGGCTGGAGCAGAGCCAAGCTGCCCCAGCCAACAGCCAACCAACCCTCAACGCCCAAGGGAGCCCACCTGAGCCCAGAAGCGCCTCCCAGATCAAACCGCTCCCTCAGACTCACTCTGTGCCACTGTGTTTGGGACCATTCATCGCAGCCTTCTTGTGGCAACAGAACATTTAGAGAAGATCCTGCAAAACCTAGACCCGCCCTTTAGCAGCTGCCTCACCCCCACTCTGTACCCCTTTAGCTGCCCCTGGCTCGGTCCACCCAGCTGCTCTCTGCCCCTTTGACTTCCCCTCGCAGCTCCTCAAGGATGACCCCCACCCACACCTCTTCCTCGGATGTGGTTCAGAAGAGAACAGACCAGTGTTACCGGGGAGAGGTCCTCGTCTCCCCCCGTTGCTCGTGGGAGTGGACTTTTTGCAATTTCCCAAGGAAAGGCATTTTCTGAGACTTGTATGGGAGAACGAGTGGCTTTTATTCGCATGGAATTAACTCCCAGAGTTTCCACGGCCTCATTTCCCTTTGTCCCACAAGGAAGAAGCGTGGCTGTGGCTTCCATCCGGCTGGCGTCCAGAGTTTCCTCGCCGTGTACGCGCCGTGCAACTCAGAGTCAGGCAGGCTCAGCTCGTGTTCCCCTGCACCCATCAGTCCACTGCATGTGGGGTCCGCGTGGTCGTGGGCCCTACAGGCGGATGCAAGGAAGCTTAGAGCAACACGGCCAACAGTCACACCAGCCAACTCCTTTGTTTAGGGGATTATGTGTTCCCCAATTTTCCTGGGCTTGCCTTGGCTCCACCCATTCTGGCCAATCATGGTTCCCCAGGCTTGACTGACAGGCAAGTACCTTCCCTAGTCACCCCAACTTCGCTGCTCATGCATCTATTTCCCCTTTGTTGGACCCCTCCCCCCAGTGGTTCTGCAGGGAATGAGCTGGTGGTTCCCTGGGGAGTGTAAAGTGGCAGCTTCCTGGTGAAGCTGCCCAAATGACAGGCGTATAATGTCTGGCCTTCCCTTTGCTCCTTTCCTGTTATTAATAACTAGTGAGCTTTTTACGAAGATGGTGCCAAAAGCTAAGAAGGAATCCCCTACCCCTCCCAAAGCTGAAGCCAAAGCAAAGGCTTTGAAGGCAAAGAAAGCAGCGCTGAAAGGCGTCCGCAGTCACACGAAAAAGAAGACCCCCACGTCACCCACCTTCCGACGGCCAAAGACGCTGAGGCTCTGAAGGCCGCCTGAATATCCCTGGAAGAGCGTCCCCAGGAGAAACAAGCCTGCCCACTGTGCCATCATCAAATTCCTCCCGACTACCGAGTCAGCCATGAAGAAGATAGAAGACAACAAGGCACTGTGTTCCTTGTGGATGTCAAGGCCAACAAGCACCAGCTCAAACAGGCTGTGAGAAGCTCTACGACATTGATGTGGCCAAGGTCAACGCCCTGATCAGGCCTGATGGAGAGAAGAAGGCATATGTTCAGCTGGCTCCTGACAATGATGCTCTGGATGTTGCCAACAAAATTGGGATCATCTAACCTGAGTCCATTGCCTAATTCTAAATACAAAAATTTTACACTGAAAAAAAAACACCCTAGCTGTGGTATCACTTGGACCACTAGAACCATCTGTGGCATGTGATTCAAAACAAGAAGTTGGTCTAAATTACAAAAGCAATATATGTTCATGTTAGGAAAATAAATTGTGAAACACACTATGAACAACTCTATTCCAACAAACTAGACAACCTAGAGGACGTGGACATATTCCTAGAAAAATACAACCTCCCAAAACTCAGTCAGGAAGAATCTAAAAATCTCAATAGGCCGATAACTATGGAGGAAATTGAAGCAGTCATCAAAAAGCTTCCAGCAAACAAAAGCCCAGGGCCAGACAGCTTCACAGGGGAGTTTTACCAAACATTCAAAGAACTAAAACCTATCCTCCTCAGACTATTCCAAAAAATTCAAGAGGAAGGAACACTTCCAAGCTCATTCTATGAAGCCAGCATTTCCCTAATTCCAAAACCAGATAAAGACAACACAAAGAAAGAGAATTACAGGCCAATATCCCTCATGAACACAGACGCCAAAATCCTCGACAAAATTCTAGCAAATTGGATCCAGCATTACATCAGGAAGATCATACACTATGACCAAGTAGGATTTATCCCGGGGATGCAAGGATGGTACAATATCCGCAAATCAATAAACGTGATACATCACATAAACAAATTGAGAGATTTAAAAAAACAATTGTGAAAACACAGATAAGGTAAAAAAAAAAAGAGAGAGAGAGAGAGATTTAATTGCCTCTAATCTCACCACCCCAAGATAATCACTTTAACATCTTTTATCTCTTCCTGCAGAAATGCATTATTTCAGAAATCAAGCAGAGTCGCTGATGTGTTACATGAGTTCATGTCACTCGTTGCTCAATAGATTTTTGTTGTCAACTTTGGGGAAAGATGTCCTCTAAACAAATATTGTCAATGTATTTGTCTTGGTGGAAATGCATACAGTGACTGCAAGCCCACACTCCTCTTGGTCAGTGTAGACTTGCAAACTACAGCTAATCTGCTATCAGAACCCAATCTGCCCATAGGTGACGGAGCCCGGTTAGTTGCATATCTCCCACTCTGGATTATAGGGCTGTATCCCGAGTGGCTAAAACCACATTGGCACATAGTAGATACTCAATAAATAACTGATGGAAAATGAATAAATGAATGAACTATTTTTACTGCATTGTTATTCTTCCCCTGGATGCTTGCCTTGCAAAGTAATTCTTGTCCATTTTGAAAGTAAGGCATTTATCCACTTATTTACAGTATTCATCCCTTCATTCACTCACTGAGAGACTACTGGGTACCAGCCCTTGGGTGTGTGTACAGAGTGGGGCAAAAGTAGATTTACAGTTGTGAGTACAGGAAACACAGAGTTTATTCTTTTTTTTTTTTTTAAATCCTCACCTGAGGATATTTTTCTACTGATTTTTAGAGAGAATGGAAGAGAGAGAAAAAGACAGAGAGAAACACTGATGTGAGAGAAACACCCATTGGTTGCCTCCTGCACAGAGCCTGGGCCGGGGAGGAGCCTGCAACCGAGGTACATGCTCTGGACCAAAATCAAACCCGGGACCCTTCGGTCTGCAGGCCAACGCTCCATCCACTGAGCCAGACTGGCTAGGACCAGAGTTCATTCTTGTACTATTATGTATTAATTATTCAGCACCTGAACTTCCACACTAATTCTCCCCGCTTCTTCCTCCCAGTACAATGTGTCCTTCCCCTCTTTTCCCAAACTCTGCTTCTCTTTGAAATATTCTCTCCAAGGCCTTGTTCCAGGGCCAAGTGCAAACTCTTTCCTCCCAAGGCATGTAGCCTGGCATGCTGATCTTTCCTGTCACTCCTGTTTGAGACTTCCCCATACTGAGGGCCCGTGGTGCTAGTCCAGGTCTCCCAGGAAGCAGGTGTGGAAAGGGAACTCACTGTGCAGGGACTGTTTTAGGGGAAACACCAGGTAGAAACCAGAAGAGGCAGGGAGAGCCTGCAGACCATGGTCTGACCCAAGTGAAGGACAGAGGCCACCAGGCAGTCTCTGGAAGGTTCTGTAAAACCATGAGGAGGTCCCCCAGCCGAAAGCAGCCATGAAGGGGTCCTGTATCCCCAAAAACAAGCCCCTCCTCTGAGTCCCTGCCACGCTCTGCCTTTGGCTGGGATTGCCCGTGTGAAGTGGCCTCCAGGCACACACACCAGTGGTGGATTACAGAGCCGGGGGGGGGGGGGGGGGGCACCTTCTCATGGTCACCTCAGACGTTTCTTAACTTGGGATGAAACAAGATTTCCTCTATGCTTTCCTGCCTTCTTCAGCGAATGTGCATCCGTGTGTATGAGTGTGTCTCTGGGTGTGTTTGTGTGTGCCCCCTACGTATGTGTATCTGTGTGTAAGAGTGTGTCTCTGTACATGTTGTGTGTATGGGCATGCCCTCTGTCTATATGTACATCTGTGTGGATGTGTCTGTGTGTGTGTTTGTGTGTGTGTGAACACATGTGTATGTATGTTTACAAGGAGCCCACTGTCCCAGCCACAACACCATCTCAGAAACCTGCTTCACACTGCAGCTCCCGCCTCTCCGTTGCTCCCTTCAGACCATCCTGGTGGGCGACAGTGGCGTGGGGAAGACATCTCTGCTGGTCCAGTTCGACCAGGGCAAGTTCATCCCCGGCTCCTTCTCGGCCACCGTGGGCATCGGATTCACAGTAAGTGCTCCCTGCCTCCGGGGCCCCAGGTCGGCTCTGTCAGGGTCCCAGCAGGAAGCAGGTGGTCACTCGCGTTGGATCAATCCAGGAGGTTTAATAAACAGACTATTGACCAAGGTGCAGGCAGGGTGCTGGGAAACCAGGAGGGATGGTGCAGTGTTTTGGGGTCCTTATAGGGCTTCCATCCCCCACCCCACTCCCCAGCCTAAGAGAGGTGAGAGGAGGGAACCATCACAGACCCAGGGACCAAGAGGGCTGTGTGCAGGGGGTTGGCGGGCAGGAGCTGTGACCATCAGTGGAGGAACGCAGCAAAGCCCAGTAACCCTCCCCCCACACTGCCCTCCTCCTGCTCCCCCCATATCCTATGGGGCTCCCCATTGATGGCACACAACCGGAAGCTGGAAAACAAGGACATGTGTTGATACAGATTGCCCATGTCCACCTCCAAGGCAATAAGAACCTGGGGAGGCAAGGGTGTGGCTTAAAATGACAAAAACAGTCCAATCCTGGCATTGTGGTGCTAGGGCACTGGGAGGGCAAAGGTTAAAGTTCTTTTTTTAGCTCTTGATCTCTCCCTGGACACAGCAGGGGGGCAGCTCAGATTAGAGAAGTGGTTCCAACTCAGAGCCCCTCGTGGGCCAGGAAGGGCTCCCTCTACCCCTTGCCCTCTGTCCACTCTCACCAGGACTGCGGCTGCTCAGTAACCCCTGATCCCGGGAAGGCCTCTGAGGGGACTTGGCTCTGGGTGTGGACTATTCTCAGGAGCTGCAGGGCCCTTCTTTGGGGTCTCCAGAGTCCTGGGGAGGAGCACATGGCATTTCTTGGGCGGCGTGGGTGTTTGGGAGGCCAGCCTCTGGGACCAACAGAGCACAGGCCTGCGAGGCCACTCGGCTGGGACACAGCAGAGTCCCGCTCGTGGAAAGAGACAGGGGAAACCCCAGACACTGAGCTTGCCCGGGTCACAGGGAGGAAGGCCAGGGCCCACCAGGGACAGGGCTTCCAAGTGAGGCTGAAATGTGAGCTCAGCACAGGTGCTGACCCCAGAATCCAGCCTGACACACCAGTGCCCCCAGCTCCCCGGCCACTGGAAGCAGCTGGGTTCCATGCAGGGCTGAGCCCCAGGAGGGCGAGGCTGTGCTGACAGCACCTGAGGCCTTCCACGACTCGAACCAGGCTGGCTGGTGCTGGGCGTCCCCCACCACGGGCGCATGCCCCGCCTGCCCCCTCAGCACACAGGGCCCACGGTGCCCTCGGAGTTACACTCCACTCCCTGACCTCTTCCCACCAGTCAGACTCAGAGGGCAGAGTGTGGGCTGGACATGGGTGTGGCTACGGTGCACAAACTCTCATTCATGCTCCACGGATGCACAGGGTGGGACCTCCAAGTTTTGCCCCTGGCTTGTGAGAAGGGAGGACATGATGGTTCAATTGAGAGCCTGGCGCTGCCTGAGACAGGACAGGCCCGGCTCTCCCTCTCTCCTGGGCTGGACCTTCACGGGATGTCCCGGAGACTCTGCTCAAAATGCTTCACAACTTCATGAATTCACCTGATACCAAACGATTAGGGCCTACTAATTCCCAAAGGCGGAGGGCCACGCGTGGGAAGGCCAGCCCTGCCTTCAGGAGCGCCAACTTAGACGCAGCCACAAAGACACTGCATCCCGGGAGTCCCAGGGTCTCAGGGCAAAGGGCGCGGGGAGGGGTGGCCCTCAGAACCCGCACAGGAGTCCCCAGCCCACCTTGCGCGTGGGATCTCAGCTCGGACTGCAGGGTGGGGAGAGCTCGGAGGCGGGAGAGCCCGTGATGGGACATTCTGGACGCAGCCCCGCAGGTCAGGGAGAAATGAGAGGCGGTCTGCGCTAAAGGGTCAAAGTTCCAGCACCAACCAACCAGGGCCCATGGGCTGCAAGATGCATATCGGTCGGTAACTAAAATTATATCCACACGAGCTCGGGCCGGGCTGCGTAGTAACAGTGCGGCTGCCTGGGCTCGAACGCAGCAGCACCGCGCAGGTCAGGGGCGCGAGGCCCCCGAGCTCTCGCCGCCCTGCAGCCCGAGCTACGATCTCGCGCGCAAGGTGGGTGGCCACTGCGTCCAGCGCTGGGGACGCCTGTGCGGGTGCCGAGGGCCACCCCTCCCCGCGCCCTTTAACCTGAGACCCTGGGGCTCCCGGGACCCTGCGCCTTCCTGGCTGCGTATGTCCTTCCCCCCAGCCAGGCAGCCGGTGTCCCGGAGTAGAGGGACACGGCCGCTAGGCTCATCCCAACTTCTGGTATCTGAGCTGGCTCTGCCAGGCCAGGGAGAGGAAGCTGGGAAGTGACTCCCCAACCCAACTTTCTTCTGCCACTCCCGGCTAATGTGAGTCCCCGGGGACCCCCAGGCTTCTCGCTGAGGGTTAACTCTCCTGGACGCAGGCACCCACCCTGGTGCTAGGAAGCAGGATCCCTGGACACCCAGAGAGGCCGGCCCCTGGCGGCGAGCGACAGGGTTAATGCCCTTCTCCCAGCTAAGCTCTCAGCTGAGACTTGACATGGGTTCCTTAGGCCCAAAACTCCAGCAGCCCCCAGGTTCTGCCTCTTCCCTTCCCACTGCTGCCGCTCCTTCCTCCAGAACGCAGGCCCACCTGGAGGTTTCGGAACCTGAGAAGGATCCCAGTGATTGCTCACAGGTCCCCCCACCTGGGGAGTGGAATCCGCTCTCTGGGCTCAGTCCCTCCACAGGTGACCCGCACAGAAGCAGGCGAGGGTGGCAGTGAACGCTGGTCTGTGTGCCCTCCTTCCAGGCCCTGGGAGCAGCCGGTACCAGGGACCCTGAAAGAGGTGTGAAGGGAGCTCGGCGCTCCCAGCCTTCTCCCAGGCTCGCCGCTAAGTGGGCGGGTCAGCGCCCGTCTCAGGATGCAGGGCCTTGAAAGAGACCTGCTCTTCTGTGCCTTGGTTTCCTCCCCACACGCGGGGCTCACTCTAGCCAGGAGCTGGGGCCTCCGCCCCCATTGTTTCAGGGGAAGCCACTCCGCAAGTCACCCGCCCAGAGCCGTTGAGATAGGCGTCCTGTGTGGGCTCTTGGCAGGAAGTGGGCCCCTGGGCCTTCGGTGGGAGGGAAGCTGGGGGGAGCCAGCCCCAGGCTGGGGGGACCGCCTGACCTCCTGGCCAGACAAGCCAATGAGCTGTTTGCCGAGGAGGTGGCAAGGCTGGGCAGCTGTCTGTGTTTAGTGGTAGGTGGCTGGCAGCGTTTGCTCCAGGCAGCGGTGATCTGTAAAGTACACAGGAGCTCACTCTCCTTCCCTCCTTCTTGGGGGCTGGGACCTACGAGCCCAGGAGCAGTGTGGCGACAGAGGGCTCCAGCCCCTCCATCTGTCCCCTGGGCCAAGCGGCCTCCCCCAGCCTGCACACCCCAGGCCTGCCCAGGAGACTGGGTCCAGGACAGCCTGGGAGGAGCTCCTGGGGCTGCCTTAGAAGGGGTGGGGGCTGCAGCAGGCAGTGCCCCCCTGCACCCACTCTTCTGACCTCTTGGGTGCTTCACGCAACATGATTGGTCCTGGCCATTATCAGGCTCTAGAAAGGCCTCAAAGAGAGTCTCCCTCCGTCCGTCTAGCCACTGTGGGAACCTGCACAGTTCAGGAATCTTCCCAAAGGCCCCCTTCACAAGCAAGCCCTTCACAAGCCAGGACCCCAGCCTTCATCCACCTTTTGCTCAGCCCCCTTACCTTCCAGCACAGTTAGCTCATCCCCATATCCCACGTGCACAGCAGGAAAGCCTTTGTCAAGGTCAGAGCCTCAAGAATAACACAGGCCTAGTCCTTCTCCAACCCATTAAGCATCTAATGGGCCAGCTGGGAAAATTCCAGCATTAGGTCCAGACCTCTGTTCTCCAATATTGAGGGACATCCAGACAGGGGGCTCGTCTCCCCGACCCCTTGTGCTCCCCAGTGAAGATGAGCAGAGACTGGCCTAGCAATAAGGGGGCGGGACACACCCCTCTGCCCCACACTCCCTGCCCAACAGTGACCCAGTGATGCCAATTTGTGGCCATTTGTCCCACTTGGGAGGTTTCTGCTGAAAGAACTTCAGACTAAATGTCTCCCCACCTCGGTATAAAGTTGAATCTTTCCTGGCTCATGCAATGTTTTAAAAAAAAAATTATTTTAAAGAGAGAGGACGGGAGAGAGATAGAAATATTGATGAGAGAGAAACATCGACTGGTTGCCTCCAGCACGTCCCTTACCAGGAATCGAGCCTGAAACCCGGGCATGTGCCCTGACCAGTAATCAAACCGATGACCTCTTGGTTCATTGGTTGATTCTCAACCACTGAGCCACACTGGCCAGGCCATGCAGCCTTTTTATAAACATGTAACATCAAATAAAGAAAAAAAAAAATGTAACATCATCAGAAACTTCCAAATAAGTGTGGTGACCAAAACGATAGTAAGGTTAGAATGTGCCTTTGCAAAGCAGTGCCCCCGCCCCCTCGGGTGCTGACACCTCCCTTGGCTGGGAATCCTGTCCCAAGTATTAACACTTCCTGATTTTTTTTAACGTCTATTGCTTGCTTCTCTGCCCACGCATGTGCGCAGGCACAGCTGGAACACGCAGTGCGAGGGGATCTGGGCCCGGTGGGGCAGGGCAAACGTGTCTGAGAGAAATGGGGTGGTTCTCCAGGGCCAGGGAGCACATCTGGGGACCCGATGGTGTTGAGGTCTCAGCTCAAGCTTCCAGGAAGTTGGGGAGGACCGAGTTCAGAGGGAGAGCTTGTAGGGAAGAGGCAGCAGCAGGCCTTCCAGCAGCAGATGCCCCCTCCCCCCATATCAGCCTCCTCCCCCCGCCCTCTGCCCCCTGTCTGGGGCTTCTCTCCCTGGAAGCCCAGAAATGCGCCCCAGCTCCCCATTAACTGCCTCTGCCCCCATCTCCTAGGTGATGCTTCTGGGAGACTCGGGCGTCGGGAAAACCTGTTTCCTGATCCAATTCAAAGACGGGGCCTTCCTGTCCGGGACCTTCATAGCCACCGTCGGCATAGACTTCAGGGTGAGGTGGCTGCAGGCTCTGCCTCCCGCAGCGAGCCGGGCTGTGGCTCAGGCCTGGGGCACTGCCCTGCCCTCGCCTGCAGGATGGTGGCTCACTGCCTGGAGGGCACAAGGGCTGCCCCAGGGAAGGGACCACTGCGGTGGACCCGTGTGCGGAGGCCGGGCTGGCTCCTTGCCCGCTGCGGGATATGAACATTGAGAGACTGAGTCTTAAAGTTCGGCCCCCAGTGGGGCAGACACGTGTCATGGTGTGAGCCGAGCATCTGGCCCTCAACCCCCTTGCTCAGTGCCCCCTCGCCTGGGCTCCTGGACGAGGCCTCCGCCGGGCTTTCCTGGCGCTCCGGAAGGCATCGCCCGCACCAGGTGGAGGAGCTGGGCTGGCCAGGTGGGGAGAGAGCAGCCTGCCAGGGTCCCTCCTCTCACCTTCAGGGTCCTTCTTGACAAATCTGCATCGGGACGCTGATGCCTCTGAGCGCTGCTCCCCCAAAGCATTGGGGGGAGTGAGGGCCTAACCCTGGCAGGGGTCCATCAGAGGTGGGGTGCCCCTCCCATGGAGGGGAAGGAAGTCCACTAGGAGGATTGGGGGGCAGCCAGAGGAGGTCCCCGGGATGCTGGGGCATCTCACCTCTCAGAGCTTGGTTGCAGGATGGGACCCAGCTCCTGGAAGTGAGGGAGGGGTGGGATCCCCAGTTCTCAGCCCTCTGCCAGGGGAGAGCCGGCAGGTCCTCAGGCTCCCCTTAGCCACGTGTTGTGAGAAGAACAGACAGAGAGGAGAGGGCTCCTCAGCAGGACTCTCTGGGGACAGGGGCCCACTGCCTGATGGGGTGACCTGGCTGGGCCAGCTCTGAGGCTCACCACACCCCCTCCAGTCCTGGGGAACGACCAGGACAAGACGTTCGTTTCTCGTAGGACGTCAGCAGAGCGCAGGAGCCGGGGCTGCCCTGCCCTCTGGCCACCCTGTGCCCTTTTCTCTTTCAGAACAAGGTGGTGACGGTGGATGGTGTGAGGGTGAAGCTGCAGGTGAGAGGAAGGCTTTGTGGGAGGGAGGGGAGGGGAAGAAGGGGTGGAGTGGCCTGCCCTGGCTCTACACCCCGAACCACAGGAGGCGTGGCCTGCCCGCTGCCTCGGCCTGGGGTAATTTCCTGTGGGGCCCGCAAGAAGCAGCAGCGGCTTTTGTTCCTTTGATGTCTGCAGAAAAAGCAGTTCCCAGGCGCCCTCCCTTCTAGCAAAGGCGCTCAAGTGCCTTCAGACAAGCTTGGGCTTGCTCCTCCCCCCCTGCCTCCCGGCTCTCGTCCCCCGGGCTGGGGAAGGGGCCACAGCACTGAGTAAGCTGGAGGACCCGGACCTGTCAGCAGGCAGGTCGGCAGGTGTGCAGGAGCCCGTGAGAAGCAGAGGAGCAAGGAGGGCGCCTTCCCACACACCTCTCGCACCACAACACCGGTTTCCTCTGCCCACCACCGCCCCTGCGCCTGCCTCCTTCTGACCGTGCGTCCGTCCCTTCCTAGATCTGGGACACCGCCGGGCAGGAGCGGTTCCGCAGTGTCACCCACGCTTACTACCGAGATGCCCAAGGTGAGTCCCGGGTGCACGCCAACTCCTTCCCCAGCCCACCTGGGACACCTGCCCTTCTGCCCCAAGTCCCCGTGTGACCTGTCTCTCCCCCTGCAGCCTTGCTCCTGCTGTATGACATCACCAACAAGTCTTCCTTCGAAAACATCCGGGTAGGTCGCTCTGTCCACCACCATAGCAGAAGGCAGGGCTGCGGAGTTCAGGGCTGCCTCCTGCTCCGGGGCAGGGGGTGGAGCCCGGAACACTGCTGCCTTCGCAGCATACCTGAGCTGTGACTCAGGCGTAATACGCTGCCTCTGGGTATGTGATGGGCATGTGGGCATGGAGACCAGGCAGTGCTGAGCCTGACGGTGATTCATGAGTGTGCTTCATGACAAAAGTTCAGAAAGTACCCAGCTCCACCCTGGGCAATTACCCCCAGGAGCCAAGGGGAGAACAAGGAGAAAGGTCTATCCGAACATCTAGTCCAAGTTGCAAGAAAGTGACTCAGGCGGACAGAGTGCATGGATCTGTCCTCACCACCAAACTATTGAAGAAAATAGACGATCACCCAACAAATATAAGCACTGACCCTGTGTGCAACCCCGTAAAGGTTTCCCATGTTCTCTGACCTCAAGGGGTCGACAAGCAAAGTGGGGAACAAGACATAGAGATATAAAATAGCTTATAAAGAGAATGGAGCCCTGGCTGGTGTGGCTCAGGCAGTTGTAGCATCATTCCATGCACCAGAAGGTCATGGGTTTGATTCCTAGTCAGGGCACATACCTAGGTTGCGGGTTCCTCCCCCGGTCAGGCACATATGGGAGGCAACCAATTGATGCTTCTCTCTCCCTCCCCCCCCTCCCTTGCTCCCTCTCTAAACTCAAAGAAAAGAAGAGGATGGCACTCATACTGTCACTTACAACCCCATGCTCATGGCAGACATTACTAATCAATCATCGTATTTTTGATCACTGAGCCATTATGTAGCCTTAGAATCCTCAACTGGAAATCGCTGGTGACTGCCAACTGATTTCTGAGACAAAGCTTCTGCCATCTCTATAGAACTAGGAGTCCGCTGTATGGGGTTTGGAGCCACTCAGGACTAGAGAGGCCAGAACAAGGATGCAGATACGAGAATGAATAGGGCATTGGGGTTGGAGGGGACAGTGAGTAGCCCAGAATAATCAAATAGGGCAGAAGAAGGAGGGGCAAAAGGGAGGGAAAGAATGGCTGGGGCGCAGCCTAAGCCCGGCTCAGCTCACCCTCTCCCACAGGCCTGGCTCACTGAGATTCACGAGTACGCCCAGAGGGATGTGGTGATCATGCTGCTAGGCAACAAGGTGAGTGGTCCATGGCAGGACCAGCCCAGCTGCACCTCCTCTCCCACTGCCACAGCATTGCCTGCGCCCAGCCTCATCACTACCCGAGAGTGCTAGCTGGCCACCCTTCCAGCAAAGGACTCTTTCCGGTCTCCAGTTCAGGGGTCAGACTGTCCCGGCGGCTCAGTCCATCTTATCTGTCCATAAGCTTTGGAAGGGCCCTTGTGGGGGAAGCTCCAGCTGCTGCCTGTGAGATCCAAGGCTGCCCAGCTGCTGGGCCCCTATTAGGTCACAGTAACCAGGGTCACGGATGCAGAGCTAAGAGCAGAAAAGTTATCCGCCACTACTGTCACCCTCTGAGGCTGGGTCTCCGTGCCCTTGCCAAGGGGAGTTACCCACCTCCCCAAGAGGGAGTGAGATTCCAGGGCTGGCGGCTGGGGAACTGCTCCTGAACCAGGTGGAAACCCCTCCAGGTGCCAGTCATACAGCCCGCAGTCCCACAGGCCACCAGCAGGGGGCGGGCAGTGCCTACTCCTAGGGCAACAGATGGGCCAGAAGGGGCAGGAGAGGGGCAGGCTGGGGCTTCCTTCCCCAGAGTGACCCACCTGGGCTTACAGGCAGATGTGAGCAGTGAGAGGGTGATTCGCTCGGAAGACGGAGAGACGCTGGCCAGGGTAAGTGGCTGCCTTGTGGGCAGGGTGACGGGTGGGGGCAAGCAGAGGCTGGCCCTGAGGACACGCTCTCCCTGGCAGGAGTACGGAGTTCCCTTCATGGAGACCAGCGCCAAGACGGGCATGAATGTGGAGTTAGCCTTTCTGGCCATTGCCAAGTGAGAGCTGGGCGGGGAAGGGAACGGTGCAGGGCCGGGTGGCACCATCTGGGGGTCCAGTAGGGCCCGGCCCCTGGGCTCAACTGCACCTGCACTCTGAGGTCCCTTTGCCCCCGGCCGTGGGAGAGGGGAGGCTGCTCCACACCTGGCTCGCTGCCCAGCCCGTTGCCTCTTCCTCTTCCAGGGAGCTGAAATACAGAGCCGGGCTGCAGGCCGGCGAGCCCAGCTTCCAGATCCGAGACTATGTGGAGTCCCAGAAGCAGCGGCCCGGCTGTTGCTCCTTCCTGTGAAACCCAAGGGGCTGAGAGACGGCCCCCGAGGCCCACGAGGATGCAGCCTGCTCCCCAAGACCTGGTTGATTCTGAGCAGCTAAGCCAATGGGGGAGAGAGTTGGGGGCCGAGTGCACAGCCCCTTCCCAACTGGGGACTGTACCCCCACCCCTACCTTCGTTCCTGTAGCTTCCCTGCATCCCCAGGGAGGGTAAAATATTTATATTTCAGTTTAGTGATACATAACACACACACACACACACACACACACAAAGGGGGCACCAGAAAAACCAAGGTAGGGACCTGGTGGCCTTAGCCTTCTGGTAGATACTAGGACTCGGGGGCTGGGCCTCCCTCCTAGCCATGGTGAGGGCAGTAATGCTCCAGCTCGCTACCCAGGAACATGCGCTTCTGGGGCAGGAGGGCAGGCAGTGACCCTGTTCCCACCCTCAGTTCAGCTGGGGAGAGGCTGAGCAGCCCCGGGCCTTCATTTCCTCCAGCTCCCCAGGGAGCAGTCTCCCCCAGAAGATGGGCCCTTGTGCTGGGAGCTAGACCAAAGCCTATCTCTTATCAGGGAAGATAAGGAATGTGGAGATTGGGCGGGGGCCCAGCTCCCTCCCTGGGAGGGGAAGAGAGGAGCAGAGATTGGGTCTGTTTGGCTACCTCTAGACTTACCAGCCCCCCTCCAGGAGGTGCGGCCCTTCTCCTCCTGCTCACAAGCACAACGGGGCCCTTGGGAGCATTTGGTTGCTATTCTCTGGACCCCCCCTGGATCCCTGGTCTTCCTTTCCTTTCTGCTATGCCCCTGGGCACCTCAGGTCACAGTGAGGGAGAGTTGATTGTCCAGTCCCAACCCTTTGGCAGGTATGCAGTCCGCAGGCTATTTCTTCAAACAGCTGTAGTGCTTCTACTGGGGAAAGAGCCCGTTAAAGAGAAACCCCCAACTCCAGAGTAGGGGGGAAGCAAACCTGAGCAAACCTCACCCCCATGTATTCTCCTCAACCCAAGTGCTGGCTCTCCCAACGATGCCCTCATGTTCTCAGACAGACCCAGGGCCCAAACTGCTTCATCTCCCCTCCTACTGAGACAGGGTGGGGAAGGAGAGGCCACCCATTTCTGGGTTAACCAGTTCTGCGTGCAACACAGTGTCGTGTGGGGAAGACTGGGGAGGGGAAAGGGGCAGCAAGGAGTTTATGTGGGGCCGGTCACACGTCTCCCAGAGCCCTGACCCCAGCAACTGGAGGGGGACAGGAGGCGCGCATGTCCCAACCTAGAGGCGCCTATGCCCTGGCTCTCCGGGCCAGGGGCAGGGGAGAGGGGCGAGAAAGAGGCGTGCGCTGGACGTGTCTGAGGCCACTGCATTTGCTTTCAAGGCAGAAATCTCGCGGTCCAAGCCGAGTCAGCAGCTCCGACTTGGGCCCTGATAAGGAAGCTCTCCTCCGAGGCCTCTCCCGGGCAGCGCAGGGAGGAGCCTGACCTTGCCCAGGGTGGGTCACTGGGGACCCAGTCCCTCGGGCTGCTCTGGGCCTCTAGCATTTGTTTTGTTCAGAATTAAATTGCAGTATTTTGGAAAGTACATCCTGTCCACTGCTTCTTTGAGATGCGGCATGGGAGCGGGGATCATGTTGAAAGGAGTGTTCCTGCTGGAGGCACTGCCCTGAAGTGCCAAAATCATTTGATCTTCGTCCTTCAATGGCCCCAAGTAGTCACCTCACCCTTTAACAGACTGCCCGGCCTCTGTGACCAGCCTCTCCTCTGTGAGGAGCTGAAAGGAGGCTTATCTTAGGGTCCTGATCATTTTTTTTTTTAATGGAAGAAAGCCAGGGCTCTTTCCCTGTAGACTGTACTGCGGTTGGTTACCTGACTCTGTTCTGCCTGCCCCCACCCCAATTCTCCCGTCCAGCGCCGAGGCCAGTGCCCATGCCCATGCCATTGCCCTGATGGCCTCTTCACTGGGCAGCCCCGCGAAGTGTCTCTCCTGGGTCCTCACGCCGTCCCCGTGAGGATCAGAGCACGCCCCCCTATAAACAGGTCCCGGGACAGCACAAAGGGGCTCCACAAGCCGAAGACTTCGCTATTCAAACAACGGTTGAGTCCGAGGTGGATCTCAGTTTTTTTTGTACGACCGCTGGGACCTCGCAGCCTCGTTCCCGAACGGGATCGGTTGCCCCAGCAACAGTCGCTCCCCCCCCCCTCTTAAGCCCCCGACTTGAAGCTGCACACAAGGCTTTGGCTAAAGGCTGTTTAAAACGTTAGGGTCCCGGACTAGCTCTCCTTGACCCCCGCCACACACGGGTGGGAGAAATCAGAACCGAGCCAGCGGGCCCTTCGGCCCAGCACCGGGGACTCGCCCCGCCCCCGCCTCAACTCGGGCCACTGGGTAACAAACACTTCCACTTCCTGAGCCTCTTTCTTCTCCCGCCGCCGAGCGCCGCGCGGAGCGCAGGGTCCCGCCCCTGCGCGTTCTCA